AGCCGTAATTACGACGTCAGGTGCGTTCAAGTCAGTTTAGTCGGCACAAGATGGCGGTGTACCTTCTTTTAATAAATTACAAGAAAATACAACAGGGTCTGCATTTTTTTTACTTTGATTTCATTAACTAGCTGCGTAACAAGTACATGACCAATTTAAGTTTATAGGACAACTAAACTATCAATTTAAACAAAAATTTATCGTCAACTACAGACGTTGCATCCATCGATTCCGCCATGTTTCTCATTGACACGCCCCCAACTCGGAAACTCGGGGCTTAAAGAAAATGTAGAGTTTCCCACTCGTAATAACGACTTTGTGGTGGCGTTCATGTGCGTTCAACTTGTAAATACGATCTATCCGACATGACTTGAACGCACCATTATACTGCTTTCTTCTCTCTCTCTCTTTTTTATTTATTTATTTATTTTTTGTCAGACACAGTCATAATCACATAACCATAGTCACCTCCAAAAACAAGCTGGCTGTTTTTTTTTGCTGCTGTGTTTTTAAGACTATGTAAATATCCTCTTCACACGTGAAATGAGATTTGAATGCAGTGAGATGAATGCTTATACACGGGCTGTGGGTTTTCTGTTGGGTCAAAAAGAAATACACTTTAGTTTAGCATACTTTTCGAAACAGAAATAATGTAGGTTACTTTACAAGAATAAACTTGAGTGAACCAATGTAATGTTTTCTGACACTTAATTGCATGTTACTTACAAATTAATTAAAATCTATTATAGCATATTAAGTGCAATTAGTTGAACTTAGAGTGACCATTTGACCTTTGACCTATCTTTATATGTAATTTCATAATTCTATTGTTTTTGAAATATGGTTTAAGTGTACTGCTGAATGTACCAACAAGCCTTTATGGTAAACTAAAACACTATAATGTCGTTTCTATTTAAACAGATTTGTAATTACACATTGTAATGATGAAGTTGCACTTTAGTACATTTAAATTAACTCTAAATTATATTAAGTTTTGACATTATTACAAAGTGCTCATTTTAAAAGTCTACTTAGGTGTAATAAGAAACATAGTCATGAAAGTGTCTAAGTACACTAATTGGGCTTTTATTTCATTAATATTGTATGGTGTTTTGAAAACATACTTTACATTAAGTACAGTTAAGCGCACATCTTTTTATCTAAAAGGAAGAGTAGTTCATAGTCTCAGCCTCAGACGTCACGTCCACGGACTGTTGGCTGAACGTCTGATGCATATGAATTGGAAACACTTCAGGAGTTTCGAAGTCGTCATCTGATTGGTTGAATTATACAGGATTTCCGGCAGACGTGTGTGTCGCATTCTTTAACGTTCCGCCTGGAAACAAAGATGCTGTTACGCCAAACCCCCTCATGTTAGAAGAAAGCCTTCATGTTTACAACTGTGATAATGAGCGCTTATCAGGATCAACTAAGCGCTGGATTTTCAAAAGTATGTGAAATATGAAAAGTTCACAGCATAGACTCGTTAAAATACGTCCAAGAGTTTGACACACCGGTCTGTTATTGTGGGACATTTCCACGCCCCTAAACATGACGCGGCACAAAACGAAACATGATTGGTTGCTTTACCTGTCAGTCATATGGCTCCATTCAATGCAGCCAAGGTTCCCAGACCTTCTGCCCTCAGTCTGAAGGTCTGGCTACACGAGACTATGTAGTTCATAACTGCTTCATCCTCCAACAGCCTCTTTGTAGAGCCGCATTACATTGCGAAAGATTAATGATTCATAAAATAAACAGATAAATAAAACAATATGCAGAGCAGCAGTTCGGACACACTGCCAGGAACAGCACATGGTTCGGTGAACTTAATCTATCCTGTTTTTTTTTCTACAACTGGACATTCTTTGGAACAGATCATTGTGTTCAGGAATCTAGAATTGAGTCGTATTCTATTTCTCATTATTTAACTCCTATGCGATGAAATTGCATGTTAATTTGAATATTTTTTTCTCACTTTCCCTGCAGCATTCTCTCCGAGTTTGCAGGAAACTGGTGTGCCGATCACGTCGGACACTCGTTTACTCCCCAGCAGCATACGAGCGTGAGAGTGTCCCGTCAGACATGCATCATTTTCATTTCCACACCTCCATAAATGATGAAGAACATGTCCTCTGGCTTGGAGTCAGTGGCTGATTTTGAAGTGTACCCCTAAAAATCGTGATTTCATGACTATAGTTTAACATTTCTGAAATGGTATGTGTATTTATGCTTCTATTTCATATTTTCTTGTGATGGATGTGTGAAGTATCTCAACGCTGCGCTGTCTAGAAGACATAAGCCAACAAATGACTCGCTGAGAATGAAGAATAAGAAACAGTCTGACCTCTTTATTGCCAACAGATGCACATATACTGTTGGAGCAATATGGCCTGATTCTTTCATAATGATTTAACTTTCCATTCATTTCTGCCTCTTCAAGAGTTATTTCATCCGAAAATGAAAATTCTGTCATTTATTAACCCTCATGCCATTCCAAAATCATATAGTTTTCCTCCTTTCATAAAACACAAGTGGTGAATTTGTGAATTTCGGTATATTGAAAGTGAATGGAAACTCTCACAAAAAAAGCAGTAGTGCATTGTCAAACACAATGGTTTTTGAAGACTTGTAATATAGCGAATAAGTCATATAGACTACCTTTATGATAATTTAGTGGCATCCCCAAAGATTGGCCAGAAAATTCAGCTTTGTGTTGCACTGAAGAAACTAAGGGTGTGCAAATTGAGGGTTAATAAGTTTTTGACATTTGAATAGCGAAATATTCCTTTACTGCTAAGATGATGAATGTATTGGTCAAATGTTGGCACTTCAGTGAAAGTTTGGCTGTGTGAAGTTTGTTGGACCAAATGAAAAGCTTTGAGCCGGAATGAATGTGGAAGAGTTTTAAACGGGCCTGCCTCTGTGCTTATTTAAACGTCCATAGAAACAGCATATGCACTTGCCATATGCAAAATCTAGGATAGCATCTGATTAATGCTTGATTTTCAATGTATATTTTAATGTAAATTTCACTGTTGCAAGAGTAATATGTTAGGAAAATTTGTTCTCTTATGTAAGACTGCTAGGTTTGCTTTAATAATATTAATAATAAAATCTCTGTTGCTTGGTAAACATGGATTAAGAAAAATATCTTATGTTACAGGGGTGCATGCTTTACTCAGAGACCTGGTAAAAACTGTATGCAAACTGAATTAAAGTATTTTGCGTTTGCGTGTGCCTTCAGTGAAGACAACTGACGTAATCAGAGTAAATGCACTGTGTTCAATCAGTTGTACTAACATTCACACTCTACTCTCTAATGCATCTAAAGCAGGGGTGCCCAAAATCGGTCCTGGAGGGCCGGTGTCCTTACTGTGGCACAGATGAGGCAGGAAACGGTGCCAGAACACGAGTATTTAAATTATGATTCATAGGACACAATGTAACATACTGTTGGTAAACGCTTGAGTTAAGCTGCTATACAGCATGCTTTCTTATATTGTATTGTACTATATTGCTTATATCGAAACCATAAAACCTCCAGAGAATTCCAGGAAATCGTTGCAGAAATTGATATTTGCTTAAGGAGAAATTTTGACATTTGACACTTTTTGATTCGTTAGACTTTCAGTTTCTGCCTTAAGGTTACATGCAGTGAAAGTGTCATGTTTGCTGCCTGTGATCAAATGGATTAGTATTCCTGCAGGCATTTAGTGATGTATGGGGGGAAAAAATAGTTTTGGAGGGGTTATTTGCACTATTTGCAATAATGGTTTACTGTAAGAAGCCTATTCATATTTAAACTATCAGTCAGGGTGTCAGAAGAGTTGTTTTAATACGTACGATTTACGAAGTGTTAATGAATTTATCATAAGACACACAGACAGCTGTTGCATTATTTGCAAAGGCATTATGATATATGCAACATCTTGAGTTGATTATTTTTTCCATTATGACTGGTTTCTTATTAAACTTAAAAATAAAGCTTCTTTATTGCCATTGATGGTTCCATGAAGAACCTTTAAAACCCATGGAACATTTCCATTGCATTTAGAGTTTAAAAAGGTTCTTTGGATTATAAAAATGTTATAACAATAATGGTTCTTTTTAGAACTGTTCACTGAAAGGTTCTTTTGGGAACCAAAAAGATGGCATGGCTGCGAAAAGCCCCTTTGGAACCTTTATTTTTAATAGTGTAACTCGTGTGTTTTTGACATTTATAGTCGCAACTGTCCCGTGATATGTGCACTAATCATAGGTAGCCTATAAATCCAACCTGTACAGACCATAGCTGTGGCATTATGATATATGCAACATCTTGAGTTGATTATTTTTTCCATTATGACTGGTTTCTTATTAAACTTAAAAATAAAGCTTCTTTATTGCCATTGATGGTTCCATGAAGAACCTTTAAAACCCATGGAACATTTCCATTGCATTTAGAGTTTAAAAAGGTTCTTTGGATTATAAAAATGTTATAACAATAATGGTTCTTTTTAGAACTGTTCACCAAAAGGATGGCATGGCTGCGAAAAGCCCCTTTGGAACCTTTATTTTTAATAGTGTAACTCGTGTGTTTTTGACATTTATAGTCGCAACTGTCCCGTGATATGTGCACTAATCATAGGTAGCCTATAAATCCAACCTGTACAGACCATAGCTGTATTTATAGCGCTTTCACCACAACCCATTCGCTTCTTGACTCACCGGCTATAAACCAAGCAACATGACCTTACGCAACCCTGCAGGCAGTAGGTTATGGATCTGTGTGTTTAGACCACAGTAATGGTTATGTGGTTGTAATTTAGTCTGTGTGAAAGTCAATCACTTATAAATCAGTCTGATTCCGTTTGTTATTTGTTCAGTATCAAATAAGTCTGTGATTAAGCATAATACTCTTATTGGCTTGGACTTATTTCCTTACTGTTGCTGCTGTATCAGTTTAACAACAATCCACCCTTGTTTAATGAAGCCTCCTCAGGGGGTTTTGCCGGGGAATACAGGGTAATTTGTGTGTTTGTCAAACGCTTCTACATCCAGGATGTCTCTATGAATCATCAGGTATATGATTCATCTACTCCACATGGTTCAGGTAGCATCGAAACTCAAGCTTGTCATACCTGATGTTAAATACGGAGACATATTATGCTTTCTGTGTGTATTTGTACACATAGTTAAGGAAAATTGTGTACATGAATGATATAAGAAGCATAGGAAATGCTTCAGGGATGATGTGCTTTTGTAGGCCAACCCATAAGTTCGCATCACCATGGTTCCCTCAGCAAAACGCCAATAGGATTATTGCAGAAAATAACCAACAAAAGTTTAGGATTTAGTTCACCAAGATAATATTCACAAAATAACACAGCTTTCATAAAATTTCAAGCCTACATACAAATGCCATAAGTCCGCATGAAATCAAAACTGACTTTATTTACTTTACTATCGCACATTGCTAGTCTTGATGTGAACAATTAATCTGTTATGAATCCTGCCCATGCACTTCCATTCGCTCACCACCAAAGATCACCCGCTCACTACTATGGACTCTTGCACCACACTAACTGTTGCACTTCACCCCGGACTACAGTTCCCATCATCCATTGCACTGATTACACATACACAGCTGAAGGCACTGATTACACACAGCTAAATCCAATCAGACATGCTACATAAGCCATGGACTTCCTGTTTCTCATCAGTCTGATTCCGTTTGTTATTTGTTCAGTATCAAATAAGTCTGTGATTAAGCATAATACTCTTATTGGCTTGGACTTATTTCCTTACTGTTGCTGCTGTATCAGTTTAACAACAATCCACCCTTGTTTAATGAAACCTCCTCAGGGGGTTTTGCCGGGGAATACAGGGTAATTTGTGTGTTTGTCAAACGTTTCTACATCCAGGATGTCTCTATGAATCATCAGGTATATGATTCATCTACTCCACATGGTTCAGGTAGCATCGAAACTCAAGCTTGTCATACCTGATGTTAAATACGGAGACATATTATGCTTTCTGTGTGTATTTGTACACATAGTTAAGGAAAATTGTGTACATGAATGATATAAGAAGCATAGGAAACATTTTATTAGTTGAATTAAGATGTTTGTGCAGTGCTATAAGCCTGAAGTCATGATTTTTTATGTCTGCTTATATAAAACAGAGCTCTGACAATAGCAAACAAACTCAACCGGTTTGACAAGCTCTTGTCACAGAAGGGGAATAACAACACTGCCTTCATATCGGTGCTCAATGGAGAGGAGCTGCTGCACTGAGTCATGATACAACTTTTTGTGAGGGGGGAAAAAAATGCTGAAAATGTGCTCACACTCAGGCCATCCAAGATACAGATGAGTTTGTTTCTTCATCAGATTTGGAGAAATGTAGCATTGCATCACTGTCTCAGCAATGGATGCTCTGCAGTGAATGGGTGCCGTCAGAATAAGAGTCCAAACAGCTGATAAAAACATCACAATAATCCACAAGTCATCCACACCACTCCAGTCCATCAGTTAACATCTTGTGAAGTGAAAAGCTGCGTGTTTGTAATAAACAAAACCATCAAGACTTCTTAACTTTAAACCATTGATGGCAATTGGAGCGACCAATAGGTGGAGACAAATAGCTATGAGAAAATGATAATGGATTGATGACAAAATGCAAAATATACAATGTATTTTATGATTTTTTTTAAACAAAAACAACTATTTTACAACAAAAAGCAACAAGTATTATTATTGTATTATAAAAATATAATAGGTGAATGAAACACCTTTGCAAAAAAGACTCAAACTCAAGAACATTCTCTGGTCTTTGTACTCTCCCATGTGTTTAAGTACTTTGTCGTATTTATTCGATAGACTGCTTCAGGGATGATGTGCTTTTGTAGGCCAACCCATAAGTTCGCATCACCATGGTTCCCTCAGCAAAACACCAATAGGATTATTGCAGAAAATAACCAACAAAAGTTTAGGATTTAGTTCACCAAGATAATATTCACAAAATAACACAGCTTTCATAAAATTTCAAGCCTACATACAAATGCCGTAAGTCCGCATGAAATCAAAATTGACTTTATTTACTTTAATATCGCACATTGCTAGTCTTGATGTCAACAATTAATCTGTCACGAATCCTGCCCATGCACTTCCGTTCGCTCACCACCAAAGATCACCCGCTCACTACTATGGACTCTTGCACCACACTAACTGTTGCATTAACATCTTGTGAAGTGAAAAGCTGCATGTTTGTAATAAACAAAACCATCATTAAGACTTCTTAACTTTAAACCATTGATGGCAATTGGAGCGACCAATAGGTGGAGACAAATAGCTATGAGAAAATGATAATGGATTGATGACAAAATGCAAAATATACAATGTATTTTATGATTTTTTTTAAACAAAAACAACTATTTTACAACAAAAAGCAACAAGTATTATTATTGTATTATAAAAATATAATAGGTGAATGAAACACCTTTGCAAAAAAGACTCAAACTCAAGAACATTCTCTGGTCTTTGTACTCTCCCATGTGTTTAAGTACTTTGTCGTATTTATTCGATAGACTGCTTCAGGGATGATGTGCTTTTGTAGGCCAACCCATAAGTTCGCATCACCATGGTTCCCTCAGCAAAACGCCAATAGGATTATTGCAGAAAATAACCAACAAAAGTTTAGGATTTAGTTCACCAAGATAATATTCACAAAATAACACAGCTTTCATAAAATTTCAAGCCTACATACAAATGCCGTAAGTCCGCATGAAATCAAAATTGACTTTATTTACTTTAATATCGCACATTGCTAGTCTTGATGTCAACAATTAATCTGTCACGAATCCTGCCCATGCACTTCCGTTCGCTCACCACCAAAGATCACCCGCTCACTACTATGGACTCTTGCACCACACTAACTGTTGCACTTCACCCCGGACTACAGTTCCCATCATCCTTTGCACTGATTACACATACACAGCTGAAGGCACTGTAAACATTTATCAGACGAATCTTTAGGTGTGGTTTTAAGTTTTATTTTTATTTATTTATTTATTATTTTTTTTAAATAAGATTTGGAAGACGGGGATCATGCCAGTGGATGGGAAGCACGGAGTAATTGTGCCGATTGCAAAACCAGGAAAAGATAATTCAAAGGCTAGTAATTATAGACCTATAGCTTTGACATCCAACCTATGCAAGCTCATGAATAGATTGATATTTGTAATTGAGAGTAGGAATATTTTTTCAACATATCAAAGTGGGTTTCGAAAGGGGCGTAGTACTATGGACTCTATAGTTTATCTG